AAACGGAAAGTTTCCTCCTTAGCTTGTAGAGGCTTATTCCACTCTATAGCTTCCCCTAGTCAGAGAATCCAAGGATCTTCTGCTTACTTAACCTCCACCTTCATTTCATGCCTGGTTTCCAGATACACTTCCGACTACCCCCGCCCAGGACTACATGCTCCCCTCCTTTCTTCACCCCAGCACACTCCCTTCCTTTCTGTTCCATCAGAAATTTTATTCATTTCCCAGTTATTTGTTCTTTAGCTCTAAACACAAAAACATCTTTGAGTTTATGCATGTAAATTATCACGAGGAATTTTTAAAAACCAAAATAAATTATAAGGAAACCTTCCATTCCATGAATACCCTCTGATTGTAGAGGCCACTGCATAGCTCAGCTGGAGGCTCATGGTCCATTAATGAACACTGCTAGATGACAGGAGGTTCAAAGTGTAGGTGACAATGTCTACTTCAGAAACTGCCACTTACTACACAGTAGACCAGCCCTCCACCTACCTAACCACAATAGCCAGTGTAAGTTTAACTAGCACAATCATTGTTGTAGGTCATCTCAAACACGGAGAAACAATACCCAAGCCAAAGTCCTCCAGTGTGGCTGTTTCATGGGTCAAGGATCAATCCTAGATGCATATCCTGGGCGGACGACTATCATCTTTCTGGTCACAACAGGGGCCTAGATAATGTCCAAGGAAGGAAGTTTCTCCCATCACCGAGTTAAGCACCAAGCCTGCCCATCGGCTTAATCAGGGGAATCTTGCTGTGTCATTTGCTCTTGTTAGAGTAACAAGTAACGTAAAACTTGGGAACTGGTCTCAAGCAATGCCAGCAGAGGCATGGTTCTCTGCATCTGCAGAGGCTTATAAAAGGAGCCAGCTGGTTGGTGTTCTGGCTGTGGGAGCAAGGCCACATTTGGATGTGGTACTGAGCCCAGGGCCTGTGAATGCTTTCATCTGTCCCCTACTCTGGGTTCTGAGTACTGCAACTTTCAAAGGGTGCCACTGCTGGAAGTGTCTGTGTATATGTGTGTGGGGGACAGGCAGTGGTGGTGGTGGTTGCTCCATAACCTGAAGGCAGACCAACCTTCTGGCAAACATTAGAACGACCTATTTCCCTGCTACTCTAGCATTCATTCACTTGCCTGAGAAAATGGCCACAAGCAAGGCAAGACTGGGCTTCAATCTCGGTTTGAAAATGCATTTTAATGATGTCAGTCCCAGCTCATTTCTACAGCATTTCTAAAAAACGGCAAACAAAGAACCCCCAATCCGTGGTCACTGAAAGCAAGACTCAATCCTTTCCTTCAGTAAGGTGTGAGAGACTGACAGGATGTCACTTGGCTTTGGAAAGCCAGTCTCCTCCACACCATTCCAAGTGTCTGCTCTGTATTCTCCCTGCTAGGATCCTCCTTACTGCCCTCAAGGTGTTTTTACCTTTTGCACAGTTTGTTCTGACATGAGATTTAGTAAGTCTAGTAATTACTGCACCGGATGCAGACATCTGGAATGCAGACATTCCAAAGATGAAGTTGTCCAGGGTTGGTTGTTATCAGGGATTTACTTGTTCTTCATCTCTCGGGGTGCTAAGATTTGGTCCCAGTGGGACTGTTCCCTCTTTCCACCAAAGGGAATGCTAGATTTGAATAAACCATGGGATTGTGGCCAACACTAAAAATCAAATCCCAAAAACCTTAGCCGAGAGCTAATTTTACACAATTAGAAAAAAAAGACACCAAATTCTTTTAAACATAATTTATGTACATTTATGGCTTTATACAATCATAACAAAGATTGTTCTTATGTCTGTAAGTACATCATCATCTCAGGCACTTCTCAGAGAGTACTGAAACAGGAACGTTAAATCTGTACTGTTACTAACTCCAGTAGCGAAATGTGAGAGGGTGGGACTAGGTCTTCTCGGACTTCCATGTCTAGTCCCTGGCCTGCCAGGCTGGAGCAACTCCCTTAGAGGGGAGGCCAATCGGAACCCCAGGTTGTTTTGTTTGCATAAGCCACACTGCATGTTTTACTTACTGATTATTCCCAAACTAAAACCACATGAGAAGCTTCTCATTTAAAATCAGTTATAAATTAAGAACTCCTAAGAGTTGAATACAAAAATTTCAAGTAAGTGGGCAAAGTACTGGTAACATGTATCTAACAGTTGAACAATTTTTTACCTTTAGAAAACTGTTTCCATTTTAGGTGTCCTTACCCTCTTTTGGGGATGTTCCACTGATTTCCTGCTTACTGGGATACAACGTTTGCTAAGTAATTTAGACTTTGTCAGTTTGTCAAAGCAGAACTTTCCAAGTAATGCATCTATTACCTAAATATATTCCATACATCTATATTACGGAAACAATACATCTTTATATTTAAAATATCTGAATAGTTCTATAATACAATATGCTTTTAATAACAGTACAAACCAGAGGAAATAAATCAAACAAGGCTGCATAGGTGATATCATTTGCACATTTCACAAAAGCAATCATTTACAATAACTGGTACACTAATTAAGCCAAAACTCACTATTCTTACAGAAAAAAAAAAAAATACCAGAGGTCACATAATGTTTCCTTTCAAAATAGACAAAATGCCTTTCACAGGACTTTACTATACTCCATAGAGAGCTACTCAGGATTCAGTTAGAATATCAACACCAAGAAAAAGGTTGGTGAGAGAAAAAAAAGAAAACAATGTTATTTACACAGACTCAAGAAACACCTTTTTAAAAATCTTTTACTTTATGAAGGAGTAAAATTTAAACAGTGATTTTAGCTGTGGATGTCTCTTTAATGAATGAATCACAACTCTTGGGGCTCTTTGCATAAAGGTGAAGGAATAGTATGGGATGAGGAAAAATGGTAGGATGCGGTGACAGAAGTGAGACCTCCAGCTCGTGGGCATCAGCAGTTACGCTGCATACACAGGCGGTACTGCTTAGAGGAACGAAGGTTTCTACACCAGCCTTATTTTTGAGCATCCAACAAGGTAGAGGTGGCTTTTTAATGAATTTTCAAAATAATAAAAGTCACAGTAGGAAGCTTACAATAGAGCTGGCCTACTACAGAAAATCTATCAGGAACACTTGTGTTCTTGTTAAATGTTTAAGAGAAACCTAGCCAACAGAGATGCAATTAAAATGTAAAACAAAGCAAGTGTGATTTGGGCTAAGCACACAGAAAGCAGAGCCTTCTCGAGAAGGCAAGAGAAGGCTGTTGTGCACCTGTTCCTTTCATTGTGCTGACTGTGGGCATTCCACATGATCTGAAACTATAGACAGATTAAATAGAACGCAGAGCCAATTAGCTTGGTCTGTCAGTTACAGGTAATTACAAAGTATTAAAATATAATGATCTGAATTATACTGTAGGTTGCTAAAAGCTAAAGAAAGTCTCAAATTCTTAACTTAAGCTAGGGCTTTGAAAATAAATTAAAAATGTATAAAGTATATAGCTGGTTTGCTGGTTTTCAAATTAAGTGCCCCAAGTTTAAAAGAAGTTCTATTCCATTTGGGTATGTCAATAAAAGCCATTCGTACTTATGAATACAAAACATTCTACAAATCCCATTTTAAAATTCCCTCCTACAACTTAAAACTTCCAAAGTGGGCTAAGTAATGTGCATGGCAAGGATAATCAGAGCTGAAGTGTGAGTGTCGACATAATACTTCAAGGCAGAGCTACAAAACCAATCTCTGTCCAGACAAAAAGAAGAGCATAGAATCAAGACTCATGAAGGGGAAGCTCTGCGAAAGCTCAACTCAAAGGTCAAGTTTACCAAAACTTTAGAGTTTCGGAAAGAGCACTTATTGAGATGCAGGTCTCCCTTCTGATCCACAAACATTATGAGGCCTCTCAGGAGTATCAGGAACAACATGGCACATAGGGGTCCAGCAGAATGCTTAGCACTAAGCAGTGCACACAGCTAACATGGCAACTGAAGCAGATGAAGTCTCTTTAAAATTCACATAAAAACATATTAAGTTCTTCTAAACACGAAATGCGAAGTGTCCATAACTATACAGCACTTTCTTGCCAAAAAAGGGCCAGAAACATTAAGTATGCAAGTACTAATTACATTTTTAAGATTATTCAGAAACATCACCAAGTAGCATCCCAAAGTGTACAAACCAGTTAAACACGTATAAAATTAGTTAACTAATCCAGTTCGAAATACAAAATGAAAATTATGACTGCTGCTCCAAATACCTGTGCTTCTACACATTCACAAGCAGACTATGTAACAAAGTAGACTCTAGTTTTAAGAAAACATTACAGTTCAGTATCTATTCCAAAACTGATCTCAAGTCCCAACGATAACATCAAAAATCATTCATCTGGAGATTAGAACCATTTAAATGTTTGTACATATTTGCAAATAACAAAAAAAAAAAAAAAAAGAAAAAAAAAGAAAAGATCTGCACAAGGCTGGCATTTAATCTATTCCCCTCACTCCCCCAAGAGTTTGACAAGTCCTTTTAACTCAGCAGATTGATAACAGGCTACTTGGTTTTCATATGATGTATGTGGCAATATGAACAGATCCAAAGCTGGTCAGTGGAGGTGGCAGACTGGAGATCTTGGTTCTCTGTGATTCGTCCATTTAGCAGAACACAGGTAGTACAAACAAAAGTTTAACTTATCAAGGACATGAGACCATCACAGTATACAAAAAGAGTATAAACTTTCCTTGGACCAAATGGATATATATATATATATATTTTTTTTTTTTAAAAAAAAAGGTATACACAAATACATATCTGTATCTACTGCTTATATACAAAAAGTGAGAGCACACCAGGATTCAAAAGTCTGTTCTGCAATTATACGGTGTAGTGAGTTTGGCACTTCATTGTAATGAAATTTCCAATGGTACAGTCCTTATCTACAGCAGCACATAACCTGCAAACATTGGGCAAACATCCTGTACAGGAAAAGTGTCTTCGCTGCCAAGTCTGACGAAAGGAAAAAAGGAACGCTATTTTTTGTTTTTTTAAATCAAGAAAACTAAAAGAAGGGGTGAAGGACATCTTTGGACTGCTTCTCTCAGTTCCTGCTGTCAGACAATCTGAAGTACTTTAAAGTGTAGCCTAGGGGGGTGGGAAGAGAAACCAGACACACAATGAAAATATAGCCAAATTAAAAATCAATTCAACTTAACATATTATAGTGACAGACAGACACAAGGGAGAAATGCTAGAGCATTCTCAAAACCTCTGAAATCATTCAATGGGGAAAAATTCCACTTTTTGTTTTTTTGGTTTTTTTGGGGGTGGGGGGAACCCTTCAGCATTTGATTTGTATCAAAAGCATTCCTCTATTGAAGAGCTACTAAAGAGATGCAGCCATCTAACTGTCAAAAGAAAATCTTTAAAACGGATAAAGGAAGCCTCCTTATGTTTAAACTCAAAAGGAAAATTTATAAGCTGTAAAAAGGGTGGAGAATGAATGATAAAAGAGGCCTCTCTGAAAGAGGCCTCTCTGCAAGAGGCAGCCAATTGACATTTAAAAAAAAAAAAAATCTAACCATTAAAGATACAAGTCACTGTGCTCCTCTCTCTTAAGTTCTATTTTCAGAAGCTCTTTTGGTATTGGGGCAAACTTACCTGCTCGCTAACTAACTCTTAGCCTGACACCCAGCTATGTGTCGTTGTCTTGACACTGTGTGGGAAGCTTTGGTTGGGCAACACATTGTCAAAGTTAAAATCCAAAGTATCTCCATCCATGAGGTCATTCCGGATGATGGACTCCATGTCACAGTCCAAGCGCTCAATAAGCATGCCGTCCAAGTCACTCGGGAGCTTCTCCTGGTGAAGAATGCCCATCCTGCCATAGCCATGGCAGCTGCTCACTGAGGAGTAGCCCCCTAGGGCGCTCATCTGCATGGGGTGAGGCAGAGGCACTTGTAAGGGTGTCTTCCCTGGGGTCAGGCGATTCATGCCCAAAGTGTGAGGCATGGCATTTATAGTGTGGGGCAAGGCACGCCCATTGACTGCAGATGTCTGTTGAGCATGTCCAGGGTGGGTGTGGGAATGGGAGTTGGGGTTCATCATTTTGTTATGGGACACCTGGCTGCCATAGGTTGGCATGACTGAATTAGGGTCCATTATCACATTCTGGCCCAGAACCCTGCTATTGGATTGGGCCACCCCAGTGTCCACTGGTGTCATGATGTCATTATGGGGAGGAGAGTCAGAAGTAAGTAACTCTTTCAAGAGTCCTGGTGCACAGTTATATTGACTCATGCCTCCATAACTCGATTTGTTGTCCTGCAGTGTTTGCATAGGCATCTGGGGCAAAGGGCTCATGCTGGATTGGCCATAAGTATATTTTTGGTAGTTTGGACTGGGTGAATTTAGACTGGTGTTTGGAGGTGCAAATGAGTAGCATGGTGTCTGCTGCATCATGCCAGGTGAAGACTGGGTCGAAACAGTTAATGATGTTGGTGAGGAGAGGAGATTGAGATTATCCAAAAGGTTTTCCATGTTTTCAGGATTGCTTATTTCAGACAGGCTGGGCAGAGTTGAAGCCATCTTGGCAGCAGATGGTGGGTACACCATAGAGTGCACGTCCCCATCACCAAGGTCATCCTGTTGGGTCATAATTGGAGAAAGTCTCCCACTAATAGTACTAGCATTTGAGCTAGTTCGGGGGCGAAATGTACTCCAGTTATCAAAGTCATCGTTGCTGTGAGAGCCGGGGCTAGCAGGCCATTTGGAGTACTGAGAGCTGGGGCTGTCCCCAGCACTCTCTTGGCCAGATTGGAGGGATGCCTTTTTCTTGGCAGCTCGGCCGCGACTCTTAGCAAATTTACTGTTGTTGTCCATGGAAGCAGCTCTTCTCCTGGGGGATTTTCCGCTCTTGCCTCCCTCTGGATTCAGCATCCACCAAGAACTTTTTCCAGTTCCTTCATTCTGCACGCGGATGAACTTGCTGTGTAGGGACAGATTATGACGAATTGAGTTCTGTAAAACATGAAACATCAGTTAGAAGCCTAATACTTCTCTACTTGGGAAACTTACAATTCAGCATAGCTATGTATATTACATGGAAAACAATGGTATGAATTTCAAACACCCAACATGAAACATAAAGGTTTTAAACCCCACTAACAAAAGAGCTCCAATGTGTGTGGGAAAAATAACTTCTGCATCTTAACAAAGGCACAAAATCAAATAAATATTATTACGTTGTTGCTCTTAGCTGCAATCCAGTTGCCCCTAAACTCAGGGCAAACCCCACCACAACAGAATAAATTGTTGCCTGGTCTTGTGCCATCTCCATGAACACTTACAGACTGGAACTTTGTGATCCATAGATTTTCACTGGCCAATTTTAGAAGTAGATCACCAGGCCTTTCTTCCTAGTCCCTCGGGTGGATTGGCCAGGAATCAAACCTGGTCTCTATCACGGAAGGTGAGAATTCTACCACTGTGAACCACCGTTTCCCTCAAGCATTTTTTTTTTTTTTTAATTATACACACATATATATATATAACAGAATATTTTATGGAGGAATTATAGGGACTAGTTTTAAAGACACTTAAATTGTGCTTAGTTACAACACTATGCAATAAATATTCCATATCAGTGCCATGAAAAATCCTTTCCACAATTGTGCTGTTATGATCACCATGATCGCCAAAATGTGGAGTGTTCAGTCCTCTCTCCTCATTGTCAACTCCATCCCCACACCCCCATGGCTCTCTCTCTGACCCTTGGAGCTAGGTCAGAGCTCACAAGTTAAAAGGACACTGCTGTTCAGATCGTCAAATAGGCAGATGCCAGTTGCATGTTTGGGGAGTCCACATGATATCACAACCTTCTGACCCGCTGGTCACAAATTCAGAGCTGATTTCCCACTACCTCTTTAAGATGTCAGCCATAAAATAAGCTCAGGAGTCCGCATAACACCCTTACTTTCTGACCTGCTGGCTCCTGCTACTTCTTTGGTTTCAGTAATTCACTGGACTGCCTCCCAGAACTCATGGAGAGTACACCATACTTAAATTACAGATTTAACACAGCCAAAAAGGACATAAGGAGACAGACACATAGGGTGAGGCCTAGGAGGGTTTCCAATGTGAAGTTCCTATGTCCCAAGGGATATGCTACCCCCATCTGAGAGCCAATGTTCTCATCAACAAGGAAATTCTCTTTATCTCCATGTTCAAGGCTTTTATCAGCCAGTCTTGTATAGGCCGGATCACGGATCACATCTCCTGTGGCTAGTTGATATCAGCCTCCTAAATGAGTCTTTTTCAGTTTGGCCAGCCTCTATTCACTAGCAAATTCTCAGGTGTGACCTGGAAGCCCCAGACTAAGGCACTCCACCATTATGCCAAGGGTCACTTTTCCCCAGCCAAGGACAAAGGCTACCTTACTTAGGGTTAAACCAGGTCACTTACCCCACAATGCTACCCCCTAAAACTACAACCAATTCTCTTCAGAGCACACATATGCCATTTACACAAAGTGAAAAGTTTTATATTACTAGGCCCATGTGATTATGGAAAAAAAATGAAGCAAAATATATTCCTAAAGAATTAAAAGTCAGAAAATTAGTAAGACCTAGATTCATTTACACCTTTAAAGCCGATTATGCAAATATAGTGGAATACAAGAAAAATGGTTATATTTTATTTCATAAAGTTGAATTTCAAAAAAAAAATAGAAAAGAAAAATTTAAATTCAACAACTCCCTGTCCCCCTCCATCTCCCTAACAATAAGCAGTAATGTACACCAACTACGTGATACCCCATCCTGGGTTACACTCTACTCCCCTCAAAAGGTAATACAGAAGAGAAATAACGAGTGAACGATACAAAGAGCATGACAAGTCAATCTGCTGTCAACAGCTGTATGACTAATTTTGCCATGTATCCATCTAAGACTATAACTATTAAAGAAATATAAACTGGTTTTGAACATGTAGCTCTGCTACTTACTAGCTAGGGAGCTCTGGTAGCATAGTGCCTAAGGCATTTGACTACAAATCAGAAGGCTGGCGATTCAAACCCACCAGCCACTCCTCGGAAGGAAGATGGGGCAATCTACTTCCGTAGTGATACTGCCTCAGCAACCCAAGGAGGGGTTGTTATGAGTTGGGTCTGACTCAACAGCACATAACAACAACAACAACTTACTAGCTATACAGCCTTGGGAGCTGGCTCAGGCCCTATGTGCCTTAAGTTCCCTCATCTGTAAAACAAAGATGGGCTCTTATCAGGTTGTTATTGAATTAAGTGAGATACCACAGGTAAAATGCTTGGTGGTGCCCGGCAGTGTAAGCAGTCATGGTGAAGGAGATATGAGACCCCCAACTCAGGAGCACAAACCTCACCATTCTAAGCCCCACTTTCCTACTCCTTGTCAGTGGGGTATGCGTAGGAATGTAGGGATATTACAAATATAAATCCACAACTCCAAGCACATAGCAAAGGGGACTTGAGACAGTCTTTCAAGCTTCAGTGGAACACTGAAATCAGGCTACACACTGAAGAAGTCTCAACTTGATCCACCTATCAAACATGTGGCTAGACTTCCAGCATTTGGGATAGACTCTGGGATACAACTAGGAAAGGAAAAGTGGGAAACCCTGAGCTCCTAGGAAGAAGGGACCTAGCCTTACACCTTGTCCCCCCCCCCCCAGCATAGGGCACACAACACACTCTTGATATCAGCTCATTCAGCTGCCTCTGCAACCCCTTACCAGGCCTCACATCCTCCGCCTGATCCCAAGTACAGGAACAAGAGTCTGGGTGCCCAAGCTCCCTCAGGAGTCAGGCTATGTGCATGGCCTGTCCTCCTTGGTCTCCTCTGACAACTGGGTGCAAGGGTCAGCTGATCGAACACCCTGGGTGCCCCCAGCACCTCTCTTTGACCACAAAATGGCTCTAGCTGTATTTGTGGTCACCCAGAGATGCAGCCACAACACCCACATCCTCATGCCATCAATGCAGATGCCTACATGCCAACTGCTGCATCAGGGCAAGGTCTCTGCACAGCAGGACAAGGCCAGTACTCAAATACAAACACAAGAATCTCATTTTCTACAAGGAGATGCAAATGTCAGAGCAAGACCCAAAAACCAGGGCTAAGAAATCCACACTTCCAAATCCCCTCTGTGGCACAGTGCCTCAGGCACTTGACTGCTAACCAGAAGGTTGGCGGTTCAAACCCACCAGCCATTCCTCAGAATGAAGACTAGGCATCTACTTCCACTGAGATGCTGCCTGGGAAACTCAAGGAGGGGTTGCTAAGAGTCAAAATCGACTCAACGGCAGTGAGTTTGGTTCTTGGTTTATTTTCTGCCCCAGGACTGCAACACCCAGCTACAGGGTAAGCCCCTCTGCAAGTCCATGCCATGAGGGCAGGTCAGAGCTAAGCCCTAATTGGAGGCCACCACACCGGAAGGTGTGTACAGCTTCCAAGAGCCCCTCTTCCTTCCCACTTATGAATCAATCCCCAACTGAAGACACAATGCTTTGAGGAGGACTTCGGTTTTAGGTACATACAAGAATCCCTGAAAAAAGCCAAATGAAAACCAAACTCACTGCTTTCTAGTCGTTTTTCTGACTCATAGAAACCCCTCCTTGGGTTTCCAAGGCAGTATCTCTACAGAAGTAGATTGCCCAATCTTCCTTCCAAGGACTGGCTGAGTGGGTTTGAACCACCAGCCTTCTGGTTAGTAGCCAAAATCCAAGTACTGTTGTTGCTGTTGTGTGCTGTCAAGTTGATTCCGACTCATAGTGATCCTACAGGACAGAGTAGAACCGACCAATACGGTTTCTTAGGCTGTAATCTTTACAGAAGGAAATCGCCAGGTCTCTCATGCAAAACCCACTGAGTGGGTTAGAACCACCAATCTTTCAGTTAGCAGCCGAGCCCTTAACTATTGCACCACCAGGCAGGGCCAAGTACTACATTTTCAAATGTCCCACCACATTCTTGTTTTTGCAGTATCCTATGGAAAGGTTCTATACACTCACAATGAGATGGACTACACAACGGGCTCAAACATATCAACAGTCATGAAGATGGTGCAGGATCAGGCAGAGTTTCCTTCTGTTATACATTAGATTGCCATGAGCTGGAGCCGACTAAACAGCAACTAACAACAACAATGCATCCTTACAGGGCCACAGCCACATCTGCTATCACTAACGCCAGCAAACCACGGTTTAAATTCCTTCTCAACGAGGCAGCCCTGCCCCTGGGACACCACTGCCAAGTCCTAGCCCTTTGCCTCTCCAACAGTTTCTGCACACTGCAAGACTGGGCATTGGCACAATGCCCCATCACGACAGCTTTGTTCTTTAAACACAATAGACACACAGATAAGCCACCATGAAATCTCTGGAGGAGAGGAAGCATGACCCCTGTCCCTGTCACACTGAGTTAATGATAAAGAGGGAAGAAAGATAGTCCTGGATTGTAGCTTCCTGGTTGTCTGCACTGACCTGGGGAAGGGGAGGTGCAGCTCTACAATAGATGTGATGACTGTGTCAGAGCACCTATAACTACAATTGGAAATACTTTATCTAGACTGCAGAATATGTGATGACAAAGTTTCTAAAAAGTTCAAGAACGCTCACTAACTTAGTCAAACGTACACTAATTCACTACTTAAAGGGGAAATAAAAGTCTACAGCAATTCATCACTTATTAAAACATTACACTACATATTTCTGTAAGAGGACATTTCAGGTCGCTCTGTGAGTAAAAGAGCTGTCTCCCAACTTTGCTAACAATTAAAAAATATTTTTTTTTTCCTAACAGGAAAAGGTTTGCTGTGCAGGGCTTGTTACATAAATTCCTGTTTTTCACACAGCCAGGACATTAAAGAAGGTATGATTTCCAGCCCAGGGTGGGGGCAGGGAGTGCTGGAGAGGTAAATCTTTAGGGAAAAAAATATGTGCTATTAATGATGTTGTGTCTACAAATCTCTGCCAGACACAGACA